GGGGGGGGAATTTTCATTGCGATAAAGAAATTGCATGTTTTCTCGCAATTCACCACTTGTGCAGATTTTTAGATATCAAAATAACTTTAAACTGACCTCTTGTCGACCAAACAATTCTCTTTGTAATCATGTATTACAACAGATCTAAAATCGAATGAACAAAAGGTTATAGATGTTTTTTTTTGAAAAGTGATTGATATATAAAATAAAATTCTATCAAATATCCAGATCGAGCATTACGGTGACCAGAAACAACCAGATACAGCGTAACACCTTGTATCGTTACGCCAACCATTTATGGATGAATCCTACGGGCGTCGTTAGCATTGGCTGTAACATGCCACACAGCATCGTTTACAGCTATTGAAAAGGGCCAGTGGAAACGGTCACCGTTATGCGTCGTAATGGGCTAGTATAGTGCCGTGTACGGTCGAATATGATTCATCGGGGAGTTTTTCAAATGGAAATACACACAATCTGATAGGGAGAATATTTGTTCGAGAGGTAAATGTAATAGAACTTAATTTAATCATGTTAAATTAAGTAGAGCCTGACAACTCATAGTCAAAATTATCGTATGATTCTCAAAGGACTTGAATCAGAGTTAGCTTTTAATTCGAAAAGTATGTTTGGGGTTATAGAATGAGATTCAATCAAATTTACAAATCTTTGACTACTTCTTTCTCTTTATTTTAAGAGCATATCTTATATGGAGACCAAACCTACTAGTGAACTTCATGCTAAACTATTTCAGTAAGCCATTGTAATATTTTGTATTAAACTACTGCATCTGATTCAACTTTCATGTAGTAACATTGCAAAGATTGAGAAAGGCATTGGTTTTGAATTCTTGATGTTGTTGGTAGTGTTATTCGTCAGTATTGGTTGTTTAGCAACATTTTTTATTGTCAACTGGCAACTGACTTTAATCCTGCTCTGTGTGATGCTTTTAGTCATGGGTAGCTCGTTTATCTCTTCTAAGGTATGAAGTATTATTGATTTATTTAAATCTGTATGAATTGTGACAGCTTATTGCCAATGAAGCCATGACTGAATTAATGACATACACGAAAGCAGCACAAATTGTTCAAGAAGTGTTTAGTTCGCTACGAACTGTTCTTTCTCTGAACGGTTTTAAGTTTGAACAAAAACGGTAGAGGAACATATAAAATCCGTTTACTCATATGGCATACAGTATGTGGTTATTTGTATTACATTTAGATATGAAAAAGAATTGTATGCAACTCGTTGGAGTAGCATACGTCAAGGTATCATCTACGGGTTTTATAATGGATGGCTATCTCTAAAAGCTAACTTAGTATACTCAGTTGGGTTTATCTTTGGTTCTCTTCTTATGACGCACAACAATCATCATAATTCGAATATTAGTGACGTTCTTGTCGTAAGGAATTTATAGAATTAGTCAATTAAAAAATGAAAATACGGCTAGTGTTTTGATATAGGTCGTCTGTGGCTTTGCACGATGTTTGAGTCTCTATAGTTCTTTGGGTATTTATTTTCAAGCATTTTCAGAAGCACAAGGTGCGGCAGCAGCAGTATTTCAGCTTATTGACGAGGTAAATTCGAATACATTGAGGTCTCATATTGATAGAATGTTTTTTATTTGTTTACATGATATAGGAAAATGAACCAAGCAATAATGAAACAGATATATGGCAAGCGGATACAGAATCAATTGATAATATCAATGGTGATATTGAATTTGACAATATCAACTTTATTTATCCATCTCGAAAAGAGGTATCAGTTTTGCATAATCTCTCTCTTATTGCTCGTGCTGGTCAAACAACCGCTCTTGTAGGTTCAAGTGGCTGTGGTAAGTCCTTTCCAAAACAAAAATTACGAAATGATTTTATCTATATTCATAATTTATTCATAGGCAAAAGCACTTGTATCTCGCTAGTTCTTCGTTACTATGATCCTTCATCAGGACAAATAACAATTAATGGTCGATCGATAACAGATTACAATATCAAACAACTTCGACGGAATATTGGTGTTGTTGGTCAAGAACCAGTACGCTTTCTTTTCGGTGTTTTTTCGTTTTTTCATTCATCATTGAAGTAGATTCTCTTTGGCATGAGTGTTTATGAAAATATTCGTTTTGGTAAAGTAAATGCCACAAGAACAGAAATAGAACAAGCAGCACGAGAAGCAAATGCACACAATTTCATCATGCGATTACCAGATGTTTGCATCAAAAACTCATTTTTATCTGTATCTGTATGCATATAAATATGTATATCATTATTTCTTTTTTTTAGAAATATGAAACACTTGTTGGTGAACGTGGTGTACAATTGAGTGGTGGTGAAAAACAACGTATTGCATTAGCTCGTGCTCTTGTCAAGCAACCTACGTTCCTTTTATTGGATGAAGCAACAAGTGCACTTGATAATGTTAGCGAAAAAATTGTTCAAGAAGCACTCGATCGAGCATGCAAAGGTAACAATGACTTTTTCCTGAATATCGTATTGACATATGATTCTATATAGGTCGTACAACTATTGTGATTGCTCATCGTTTGGCTACAATTCAGAATGCTCATCAAATTTATGTATTAGATAATGGAAATGTGATTGAGCAAGGTACACATGAAACATTAATGGCAAAAGGAGGAAAATATCAAGAAATGGTCAAATGTCAACAAATGGAAAAAATCGATTATGACAAAGATGATTCGATGATCATACAAAAAGCAATAGAAGAGGATGAAAAGTCAATATGTATACTAATATTCTAATAGTAATAGTGTTCACTTGCCTTTGTATTTTTCCTGTAGCAGTTGAACGCTCCTGTTTACTTGGCGATAGTGGCACTGTTGATGTCAACAAAGTATATAACTCTTGCACTATCTTCAAAAATCACAACTGATAATTTCTCTTTTAGCAAATTTCAAAGCCATTCGGACGAAGAGCTGTCTTTTTAAGGCTCTTATCGATGAATAGTCCTGAATGGATTACTATCTTGATTGGATGTATAGCATGCGCAGTTAATGGCGGAGTTCAACCATTGTATGGATATCTACTTGCAAAAACAGTCTATGTGAGTCCTATACCCATATAAAAATTGTGCGACAATATTGACAACATCCATCGTTTAATTTTGATCTATTTATTGTGTAGGCCTTTAGATATTGCTCAACATCTGAACAACGTCATGAAGTGTTGATTATCAGTTTCATTTCTTTACTTTTGGGTGTTGTTATATTGATTCTTCGCTTGTTCCAGGTACAAATACTGCTTTGGAATTTCATCAATGACTCATTCACTCTTTTCTATAGTATATTGGTTTTGCCATAGCAGGATCCAAATTGACGCAGCGTGTTCGTTCGAAAGCTTTCGCATGTCTACTTCGTCAAGAAGTTGCTTTTTTCGATCGACCTGAAAACGGTTCTGGTGCAGTTAGCGTTCGTCTTTCTTCTGATGCATCAGCCATCCAAGATATGATTGGTATACAATTAGGAGTCATCTGTGAAGCTATTGTTCTATCGATTTCTGGGATTCTATTTGGATGTTTTATAAGTTGGCAATTAACTTTGATTGTCTTTGGACCTCTTTTTATGCTATTCTTAATCACTTATGCAGACTTATCCCTACAGATACGATTAAATAAAAAAAATGGTCAAATGATCGGAAGAGCAAGCTCGGTACGTTCAGGCTTTCACTTAAAATCGATTTTTTTTCTTTAAAATAATTAACAAGAATTGTTTGACAAACCAAATGCACCAAAACCTCTATAGAGTAGACACTATGTGGACTTTTCAAAAGACCTCACGGTAGAGAAGTGTCCATTACACGGAGACTAAGTTTATTTTTATCAAAATATTTTTACAAGGATTAAACTATTTTGCTCGTTATCTGAAGGGTGTTAAAAGAATAAAAATAATCAGGTACTATGCGTGTTAATTTTCCTTTCATCCTTTGTTTTTCTGAAAGGATACAATGGTTAAAATATAGTAAAACTTTCCTATCACGAGCATCATTGCAGCGTGTCAAAAGTGTCCACCATAGAACTACATCACAATGTCCTCTATACGGACGTTCATTTTCAGCAAAAACATTGATAACTGAGACTTCGAACAATTTTCACTATGCAGAGATGTCCGTTATAGATTGGTGTCCAATATGGGAGGTTTTGGTGTACACTATATTCACTCTGATTTCTCTCGTGTAGTTTACTGCTGAAGTTCTTCACAATATGCGTACTATAAAACAGTTATCAATAGAAAAGGAAGTTTTACGACAATATTCTGATCTTATTCATCAAGTATTTCTGTTAGTTAATTGAATTCTAGGCATACGTGGGTTTTAGATGGATTTTGTTGCTTTCATAGATTGTTTTGGAAATCTGCAATATTGGATTCCATTGCGTATGCTCTGTTCTGGATAACAGATTCATACACTATGGCGTTTGTCCATTGGCGCGCTCTCATCCTTGTTGAAAAGAACGAACTTACGGCGGACCGTAGTATAATGTAATTAAAGCGGCAGTTTAATAATTTAGAGATAACGTTTTATTTTCTTTCAAATCGATTAGGGTGTTTTCTTTTGTTGTTTTTACTTTACGGGCACTTAAACTGGTCAAATTGGCGTAATGTTCTTAGTTTTGACGTTGATTCCTCTTCTACTGTCTGCATTTTAGGACTAAACGTACGGCTACATCCGTCTCAGCTGCTAGAATGTTTTTTGATTTATTTGATCGAAAACCAGTTATCGACAATACATCTACTAAAGGACAAGAATTGGTAAGAGAACATATAACATATAAAGAGGAATGCTGGTTTGTTTGGTTTTTTTATGCATTTAAACCCGATAGAGGCCAGTGCAATCAAACTTTGCATGGTTTTCTCTTCCTCCCAAAGGAAGATCGAGGGCTCTATTTCGGTCTAAAATTTTGACCACGGTGATACTAGAGGTCCAAAGAGGCGATTGGGCCTGCTTGTGACAGATACAGGCTCTGATTTTCGAATTTGTTCACGCTAGATCGACTGCTTAAAATGGTTAGGCCACCAAGTTGGCATGTGTTTTCTAGATTTTCAATAACAAACTTCATTTTTTGTGAAGAAAGTGCAGATATCAAACTATAATATGGAAATTCTTCGTTGTGGAAAATAAGAAATGATTTATGTTCTTGGTTTACTTTAGTATTATCGTAATGCGGTAGGACATAATAAATACTTTTCAATTAATTCATCAAACTCAGTAAAAAGATTTTCACACAAAAACAGATTTCTCTAAATGTTTAAAGCTTTCTTTTTGTCTTTACTGAATAGTTACATACCTCATTAAATCAATAAATATTTCACTTAATCATGTTATATTGATATTAACAATTTCTTTGTTTTCCTATAGAGGCAGTTGTTTTGCTTCATTCAATTATTATTCTAGTTTTTATGCACAAAATAGTGCAAAGACCTAAACAGACAGGTAGAGCAGGCTAACGAAAACCAACGATAGAAATAGACAGGTTGAAGAGACTCATGGCCTGTTATGAGCAAGTTAGTCCTACGAAAATCTTTATGTGTAACTGTTTTCTGAATGATTCGAGAACGGAAGGAGATAAACATCTGTGATTTTTCCTTATTCGACACAACAGATTCCAGGGCATGAAAATATGATAAAATCTGATCGAGTAACAAACTGACTAACCAGGTAAATTTATCGGTGAAGGTTTTGGAAACTATATTGCAAAAGGATTTCCGAGTGAATCTAGATTTGAAATAAGATGAATGGAACCAGTTTCATTGTAATGGAAGATCCACACCAAGGTGAACATCATCCAGAAAATAAGAATATGTGTCAGCGACCGAAATATCGGGAAGTGAGATATCTTACTTCTAATTTTAAAAAGTCTTTCTATTTTTGCACTCGCCAAAAGCGAAAAATGTCTGCTTGTTCCTGTGTTATTCGGAAAAGTTTTCTTAGCAGATAACTACGTTCTTTTAATCTTAAACATGCTAGGGACATACTATGATTTATGTAGGTTGATTTTCGTGGCGAGCTACAATTCGATCAAGTCAAATTTGTCTATCCAAGCCGATCAAAATCTGTTATTCTTGACAAATTTCAATTTCATGTCAAACCAAGTAAGGTTGATAGAGTTCTGTTCAATTAGTTTTAAAGACTCCTATTCACTATTTAGGTCAACGTGTCGCTCTTGTTGGTATGTTTGAATATAGATATTTACTTAAAATCTTATTTACTTAATACGGTCTTTGTAGGTACATCTGGATGTGGAAAATCAACAATTATTCAACTTTTGGAAAGATTCTATGATGTGACAAGTGGTCAAATAGTTAGTATTTTTTCCTAATCATTCAAGTAATTATATAAAATTTGTCCACTCAATCTAGCTTCTTGATGGCATTGATATTCGACAACTAAATCTTCATTGGATTCGTTCTCAGTTTGGTCTTGTTAGTCAAGAGCCAGTTTTATTTGATTTGACAATTGCTGAAAATATAGCATATGGCTTAGAAAATGTTTCGATGGAAGAGATTGTCAATGCCGCACGTAGAGCTAATATTCATGAGTTTATTGAGCAATTGCCTCAGGTTAAACAAAAGAAAATTATCTGATGTATCTACAGCTAATGTATGATATTATCTTTAGGGTTATGAAACAAAAGTAGGACCGAAAGGTAGTTTTCTATCAGGTGGTGAAAAGCAACGTGTTGCTATTGCTCGAGTTCTTATTCGTCGGCCTAAAGTATTGCTCCTAGATGAAGCTACAAGTGCCATGGATTCTTATAATGAACAAGTGTGTTTATTTGTATTTTTGTCTATCAATAAAAATGTCATCTTCATTCGTCATTTATAGATTATACAACAGACTCTTGAGCGAGCTCAAACAGAAGATCCTAGTCGAACATCACTCATTATTACTCATCGTCTTTCAACTATTCGTTCATGCAATTTGATTTGTGTACTGGACAGAGGACATATAGTGGAAAGTGGTACTCATGCAGAATTGGTCCAACGACGTGGAGCTTATTGTAGAATGCTTGCTCAAAACACTTTACAATAATCGTTGGTGAACTATTTTGAGATTGAAAATACACTTTCCTAAACAAAAAGCGAACTTTCTTTAACTCTTCGAGGACAGAATTTTTTAATCGAAAAAACATTTTTCAACCTTTTTATTTCAATTCAAAGTGGCCATATAGAAATATTATAAGAATCAAAAACAAAACAATTTTCTCGTCTTTTAAATGAAATAGCAATATTCAAGTAAAGCACTCGATGTTGGATCAAAAATCTACTTTCTTAGTGCTGCTATGAAAGTTAAACTTTTAAGAGCTATACTTGCATAAAAATGCTTGACAACACGGCTCCTTTGAAGCTAAAATGTGAAACTCACGTATATCTTTCCAAGTTGTTATTCGGGTTCATTATTTGTAAACTGAAAAATGATTGCTTTTTCAAATATTTATAAATGCATTAAAATATTGTATAACATCTGAAAGCTTTTGTGCGCGGTTGCTGAGGTCTATAATGGGAGGAGGAGGGAGGAACCGAAAGGTCTTCACCTTAAAACTTACACTCATTATTTTCTTCGCAAATATACGCGAGTTCCATAAAATGAGATATAAATCAGACATAAGTTGACAATATGAGTAAGATGTGCCACAGGTTCAAAATCAAAAGAGTATATGTATTGAGTATTATGACATATAATAACACTAAGTTTGAAAGTTATATTAAGCGATTATTAATATGTATGAATGGCGATAGACATTGTATTGGATGACGTTATTGAGATGTTTTTTGATTCATTTATCTAATGACACGACCTTCAGACTATACTATTGAAGGTATTGATCTTGTGGTTAAATTTAAATTACGTGATTTTTTTTCTCTTATGCCTAGACTTTGTTTGAAATTAATCTATACGGATATATCTCTTTATCTAAAAACACTCCAGGGTTCCTGAGTTTTATGAATTTCCATGCGAACCATCCTCTTAAAATCCTTAATGAAATATGTCAAACTGAACTGAACTGAACTGTCTCTGTCAATTTGAGCTACAATAAATCAAAGATCTTCAGATTTTTCCGACTTGGATTTGTATTTTGGAACTTCGTTTTCGGTTTGACTGTAGTTTTTAATGACTTAAATCCCAATTACTTTCTCAGAGAGTGTCAAAAACAGAACTTTGTTTAAATACGTCTGGGTCACCAATAGAAAATTACTTTGAGCCTTGGAACCAAATCCCTAGCGCTAAGATTTTGGTTGGATCCGATAAGAAAAAATTATTTGCTGTCTCAGATGCACATCTAGTCAAATATATCATTGTTTCTGACACTTTGTCAACACCAAATGTTAGATATTCGGATTGTTAGATGCTCAATTGAGAGCTAGATTGAAAAACAAACCTGAAATATGATTGAAAATCTAATTGCGAAGTCATTCGCTCAAACCCACGTGAAAAAGTCAGACAAAATTTAGACCAAAGCAGATGAATTTCGCTACCGTTTGAAATGTATTCATTGCGGGAAAAAGGAGAAACTACATGAAAATTCGCTACTGAATTTCAGTCAATCAAATAAAATGACTAAAGCAAGTTGCAATGATTATTCTGATAAGAAATTAAATTCAAAGAACCTGATTCTGATATGGTTTTATGGATGAGTACATTGATAAAAGTGGTTTTTTCTTACTTTCTTTCATGCGATGCTTCCAGAGCTGTTCTAGTTGTGTCATTTTCGGTTTTGTAAAGATAGCTATCTTTAAATGTTACAGGTGAGAAGAAATATGTTGTTTGTTTTTCCCATACGTAAATTTATGATTCTGTGAATAAAAGAAAGCAAAAACTAAGAAAACATAGAACTAATATTGTGTTCATGAAAATTTTTTCTTCGATTCAGACTTAATTGTCGAAGTGGATTGCATCGCTCACCATATTTTCACTCTAGTTTCACCACTAATTTTAGCTACAAAGAGTTGCTATTTTCGTTTGCTTCTTGACGCATTCCCATCATGGTAAGCAGGACCTAGCGGCAACAAATAAATTGCGTGTGTATTTATCAAAAATACTTTCAGCTATCAAAACTATTGATCATCTCATAGACTAGATACCTACTTCTTCTCCAAACCCTATTCCATACAACAAAAACTGCTAAAATAAAGAAAGGATGTGTTGCCTGTTTTATCATATAATCTCGACAGAGTCGATTCTTTCAGACATCGACCAACCTATTTTACAGTAAAATTTCCAGAAAAACTCAAAACGCGAGCAGCAATGTCCTAACAAAAGATATCCAAACACTATTTATTTCTTTTATTCAACTTCCTCTAAAGATATTTATCTAGAATATTTTCATTTGCCTTTCTATTTTGGAAAATAATAAAACCGAATCTTCAAAAATTCTCATGCTCTCTACGTCGACACGCACCGATGCGAATAATAGGTATTCCTAACGCATTCATCTGCATGCATGACTAAAGCGTCCACTACTTTCTAATCGCCTCTCTATCACTATGCGAACCAGTAAAATACCAAAAGTTTTTCTTATTACCCCTGTTCGAGATACTCCAGCCCGTACGTTTTAGAGAGTCATACTTTTAAGAACGATAATTTATTCTTCGATTCAACACAAATCAAGAACAAATTACAATTTCGTTTTCACAATGTCCATAATTCTTTTACACGAGATAATATAGGGATGACTTGGAGGGAGAGATGTTTGGAAGATGTTCAGTGCTTTTTCAAGAAATAATAGTGCTTTCGAGTACTGGCACATGTGTGAGTACATCATACCGATGTTGTTGTAGGAAGTAGCCAACGAGGAATGATTCGAAGGGACACCTATCTTCTGGATTTCAAGTGATCGTTCACACGATGAAAGTGCTTTCGAATACTCGCCCATGTGATAATACATCATTCCGATGTTGTTGTAGGAATTAGCCAAGTCGGGATGATTGGAAGGGAGAGCTATTTTTACGATTTTAAGTACCTTTTGGTGAAATTCAATAGCTTCATGGTATGGGTGTGGGTGGGTGTGGGTGTGTGTCGGTGTGGGTGGGTGTGGGGTGTGGGTGTGTGTGGGGTGCGGGTGGGTGGGTGTGGGGTGTGGGTGTGGGTGTGTGGTGTGTGGTATGGGTGGGTGTGTGGTGTGGGTGTGTGTGGGTGTGTGGTGTGGGTGTGGGGTGTGGGTGTGGGTGTGGATCTTTTTTTCATCCGTACCCACACCCTATAATACTATTGACTTCATGGATGAAATTTTCGTCTATTACAGTTTTAGAATATTTAGTAAAAGCATTATTAAGTTGATAACTCAATGCCCAAATAATCTCGGATTTTACTTTTCCATCATTACTTTTTTGTAAGACTCTAAGAAGTTCTTCAACTGTAAAATCAACATTTTTATTTTTAATCGAATATTTAATTGTCTGAGCAAGCAATAGTTTAGTCTGATCATCAATATTATCAGCGATTAAATTTTGATAGATTTTCACCCCAATTTACTTCTGACAGACCATGCTTACGTGCGATATACTTTATCTCGGTAAGTATCTTTAAATGAAATGCTTTATCTATTGGATACCCGCTATGAAGCAGTTTAATTATTCGTTCCTTACAAAAACTCTTACATTGTTCGCGTAACTTTCCAATAATATACTCCTCGTTTTGTTCTATTTCGTTAGATTTATCCTTACCGTCACCCATTCTTAAGTACACGTCGGTATGAATCACATTTTTTTTTGGTCATAATCGTTAACAACCATAAATAATACACTGGTTGCTTGAATTATCAAATGTAATAAATAGTTATCGACGTGTGTGCAAGAAATATTAAGATGTATTTTCGTTGTATTTAAATATAAAAAGGGAATATTTCATTTCAAATTCATGTGATTGAACATAAAATTTTACTCTAATATTTTCTTATCAAGCAAGTAGAACGTGCATGGGCGCCTAGTGTGCTTTAATTTCACATCCTTTTCAATGCAACAAAATGAAAAATTAAGCAAAAGAAAAAACGAGTCATTGTTTTTAGTATATATGCACTATTTTATATAACTCATGACTCAATTTGGGAGGTTTTGGAGAAAAGTTTCATGATTTTTGGATGTTACTCGACTGAAAACTTATTGTTCATTGCACGAGATATTTGTATTTTTTTCGACATACTACGACCATAAAAAGCACGCATTTTTGCAATTTTATCTCACGTTTATACTTCACTACAAGTATAACAGTTTGCCTTGCAATCTTTATTATTTTTTTACGTCTAAGATTGAAATATCTACAAAACAAGAATTAAAACGAG